ACAAGTTTACTCGTCAAAATAAGAAAAATAATGTCTGCACTAAGCAACAGAAGACTTTATCCAGCTTAGGATTAACATAAAATAGAAAATATTTTTAAGAACAACGGTGAGAAAAGCGATAAAAATAGATATTAGTGATGTTGAACCTCTAAATCGAATTGACCAAAAATTTTATGAACCTCTTCACAACGACGAACAATTACCAACACAGTTGCTTGATATCATCGAATAAACAGAAATTAAAGTGCACCTTGAACATTAAGTTCACCCAGTGTCACTCCGATAATAATACTACTTTAGCCTCAAAACACTCAAAACACTCACACATTATAAATAATAAAACAAAAATCACAATGAGAAAAACAAATGACTCATAAACTAACGAGAAAGTGTCACTACAGTTACAGGGGACAAAGTGAACTACGCTATAACCAAAGTTCAAATTACGTCTGGCGAATAACCACAGCCATTAGTTCTGAACAAAATCAAAGTTATAACAGCTTGTTTGTACTTTTTTTTGCCCCTTTTAACCACTTAGTCAATAACGACATCATTATAAAGACAGCTGATACCACTTTTAAACAGCAGACCGTTATATAATTACAAAAGCTGAAGAGAAAAAAACGTAAAAAAAATGAATTTACTTCACTTAATGAAAAAAAATGGACAAACTTTAAGCTTCGCAAACATAATGATAAGCCGAATAAAAGTTAAAAGAAAAATGCTGAAAAGCGATCTTTCTGATCCTTAATATACCTTGTGGTGAATCCTAGAAGGTAGAAGATCATGAGCACAAATTATCCAGTTTGTTTACCTTGTAAATTATGGTGTCAATAGCTCAAGATCTCTGGTTTCAGCGAACGATACAACTAAGCGAGGCACACCAAGCCGGATGCAACAAAGCACTCGTGACGAACCAGTTCAACACTTCGATTGACGAATGCAATAAACATACGTTTGGCATCGTGCCCACAACCTCATTACAGCGTTTATTTGAAACCTGTCACCTAATACAGCAGTATATAAATTTTGGTTTTTTTTTTTTCGCAGTGTGTACGTTGATTGCCCAAACCAACCGTAGTTCTGTGATTCGGTGGAACTTACTTTCTGTATACTCTAATATAACTATTATACTTCTGAAAATGTTGATGTAAATGTTTTTTTGTACATTCATTTCTCTTATTACTTTGTAATCAAGAGCCGCGAGTTTGGCAAACGCATAAGTCGAGATGTTTGACAGAAAAACAAATAAACGAAGCAAAAAAATTTCAACATTCTGTCTGGTGTACAGCTGACAGTAAATCTGGCAACGGTATTTGTCCGTACAATTTTCATAAACTTTTTTTCCTGTAAAATACAGAAATCTAGTATTTTCGACGTCCACAGTTTTCATAGTTCAAACTGCACTGTAGATTCAAAGTGGTTCCAATTTTTTACCCAAGAGATTTCCAGTAATCAAGTTCAAAATTTAACAACCTTGTAAAACTAGACCTTGTAAATTCATGCTTCTACGGCATATTACGCAGGACTCATATTACAGCCTGGATGTACAACCGTTAGCAAAATTTCTGTCCAAATTTGCTTGATCTTTCTAATACAAGTGTTGACTCCAGAAAATAATTTTTTTTGCGGTTTTTGAAAGGCAGTACAGCAAATGCTGCACATGACTCAGATACAGCTTTCTAGAACTCTGCAAACGACGGAATCTAGTTTTATAAAGTCGAGGCATGTTTTATGGCGTAAAAATACTGAGCGGGAAACCGTAACCAAATTGACTTTCATAGAGAGCTTTTTTTTGACTTATTACTACAATGTAATACCAGTATAAAATTTGATGCTAATGAGTTTACTTTATAATTTTCATAGAACTGTTAAGCAGTTGAAGTAATTTTATGATTTTCTTGATGTCTATATTATGTCTGCTTAAAGCTTTTTGTTCTTCTGCTTAAGTAGAAATTAAAATTTAGAAGTTCTATTCAGTGCTTCTTCTTCATTGTTTTCAACGGATGTCTTGTTAAAAAATCATTTTTGTTGAACAGTAGCTTAGTTAAGGTCAAAAAAAAAATTTTTTTTACTGTTTTATCAATTATCAGTATAGTTTTTTTGATAGTTCAATAAATATTTCGCTTATATTATTCATTAAATGCCGTTCAGCTGTAACATTTGACGTTTACAGACCATCAAAGTTGACAGTGCCGGTCACTAGTTGAAACTTAATTGGATTCAAAACGATGGCATTCAGTGTAAAAAATTTTAAAATTTTTAGAAAAAATTATAGTACATAAAGTAATAAATTGTTTATTTAATTTTTAGTTTAATAAAATACCATGTATTAGTTTTTTTTAAAGTGGAACATATTCTTGATATTTACTGACAAAAAAAAAAAAAAAAA